TGAACATTCAATACGCCATTTTCTCTCTCTTTTCATTTGGAAAATCATTGAAGCATCTTTGAAAGTATTAAAGAGCGTCTGAAATTTTTTATTTCTTTTCAAAAGAAAAGCTATTTAATTTGGTTTCCTGTTATCTTATCATCTTGGTAAGATAAGAGTAATCTTTCAAAACTTAGTTGAAATTAATATCCATTTTCTTTTGATGTTATATTAAAAAACTTGGGCAGTTAAAATCCCTCTTAATATTGTGTATATAAACATCTAGTTTGAATGTTTAAATGAGAAGTAAACTTTTTTATATCTTTGCTAATAATTAGTAAAATAAATATTCACAGGGCATTGCAAATATAGTTTTCCTTGTGCTTATGGTTCTCATTTGGCTGAGAAAAATTTAATAGAGGTCTTAAATTCACGTAAAGCTTCGAAATATATATTTTTATGATATTATTAAAATGTCTATAGGTCCAATAATGCAAATTATTTTTTGTACTTATGCAATCAGCTTTTAACATTCTACCCTCCTTTCGCTTAGTGCAAATTTTGCATTTGTAAAAAGGACAGAATTTATAAAAGTTATTAATTTATAAAAGCAAGTATAAAATTGTCTAAAACATTTTCTGCCAAGAAAATTGTTTACATATAGTTTAAAAGTGTTTCTATTATTTTGCTTAATTCACGAATTCAAATTAATCATTGTGCACCTCTCTGCTTCTTTGAAAGTAACACATAAGACGAAAAACATATGACCTTCGCGTACATCACATCATAAACTGAAATATATTATTCCCACCACTTCCAATGTAGCAGAGAAGTGGGGGCATTTGGTATTTTACTCCAATGGATTTTAAAAAATCAAGGTTAGGAATATATTATTAAATGGCATAAAAACTGTAGCTTGTTGAAAACTGACTGCTAATTTACTATTATAAATTTATTCTATGCCACAATTATAAATTTATTCTATGCCACAATTATAAATTTATTCTATGCCAAGACAATTCCATGTATAACTTAACATAACTGTAACTTAATTAAATAGCTTATTTGAGGTTATCATTTTGAACCAATAAAATTAGAACTTTGTTTGAGAAAATTCGATCATTAAAACAAAAGTTACTTTAGGGAGATATTTTTTATTGATCAGTGTACATTCGAAAAAAAATCTGTGTTTTTAAATGAGAAGAAATTAAACACAAGTACCATTATAATCATTCATAAAGTCCTTTTTTAAATCCCCATAACTAACGAGAAAATATTCCCTTTTTTATCCCTGTTCCCTTCTGCTGCCAGACAATTTCCTGTTTTAATGCATAAGACTTTAGTTCATAACGACGATATGAAGTGCTGTATAAATAATGTTGAAAAGGAAAATAAATAATGAGTTGAAAGTGGGCGTTAAAAAAGTGTCAACGGAGATTTGAGAGTTGTTATTTGCATGTTCTTTTTTACTCCTCCCTTCACCAAAAGATAATCCCCAGAGAATGAAATTGGACGCTTTAATTCCCTGAAAAGGAAACGGGAACACCGTTTCGTTTTATATGTATATATTTTTTCCGCTCTCTAAACTCTCTTTTTGTAAACATATTACTCTCTAAGTCTGATGAACTTAAGACCCGACAGTTTCAGAAATAATCATCCATTATGAAGTTCTCTCTCTTATTTTGAAGTTTATATTTCTTCCTCGGAAAATATGAAACTAATTCTTTTAATAAATCTAATTAATATTTAAGGTTCCGTATTACTTGTTTTTTAGTGTAATGGACTTTTTCGCACAATAAGAGACGCTAGATTACGAGCGAGCAAAATTTATTTGCAGGAAGACACAAATTATTTGTATAAAAATGCAAACAATTTATGTAAACGTCATCACTTTATTCTCTGGACTGATAAAACTAATTCTTTTAATAAATCAAATTAGTATAATTCTTTTCGTACTACTTGTTTTAAACGTAATGAAATTTTGACTCAATAAAATACTGGATTACAGATGAGCAAAAACTATTTACAGAAAGACAGTAGCACAATTTATGTAAACGTCATCACTTCTTTCTTTGAACTAATGAAACTAATTCTTTTAATAAATTAAATTAGTATCCTCAGTTTCGATTGAAGAAAAGAGCACAATCAATGTAGACATCATCACTTCTTTCAGTGAACTGATAAAACTAATTCTCTTAATAAATCAAATTAGTATAATTCTTTTCGTACTACTTGTTTTAAACGTAATGAAATTTTGACTCAATAAAAGACTGGATTACAGGTGAGCACAATTTATGTTAACGTCATCACTTCTTTTTCTAAACTGATGGAATTAATTATATTAATAAATTAAATTAGTATTCTCAGTTTCGTTTGAAGAAAAGAGCACAATTTATGCAAACGTCATAACTTCTTTCTGTGAACTGATAAAACTAATTCTTTGAATAAATCGAATTAGTATTCTCAGTTTCGTTTGAAGAAAAGAGCACAATTTATGTAAACAACATCACTTCTTTCTGTGAACTGATAAAACTAATTCTTTGAATAAATTAAATTAGTATTCTCAGTAGCACAATTAATAGCACAATTAATTAGTAGCGCAATTAATGTAGACATCATCACTTCTTTCTGTGAACTGATAAGACTAATTCTTTTGATAAATTCAATTAGTATTCTAGTATTCGTACTACTTGTTTTAAATGTAATGGAATTTTCCCTCAACAAGAGAAAATAGATTATGAACTAGCAAACTTTTTCAACATAAAGATGCGGGCACGATTTATTTAATTATCTCTTCTTTCTCCGCAACAATAAAATTCTTTTAATTAATCTATTAATACATATTGTGAAAAACCATGTGTTTTACGCGTGTAGTGAACTTTGTCACTCAATTAAAAACAAAAAATGTTAGATTATGGACAAGCTCTCAGCTCACGACGATTCCAGTACCATCTGCATAAAAATGCAGTGATACTGTCGAAGTCCTGTCTACATTGGAGTCCGATTTATTAAGAATTCTGAAGAGAAAACATCCCAATAAAAAACTAGTATTAAGTTACTTATTAAGAATGATATGAATTTTTTTTAGTTGATTAGCTAACAAAATTCCACATCTTACATTCACTAAATGCTTTGCCGTTTATAAGGTCGAAGAATTATTACTACATGATCTCTTTCTGAAATAGACTAAAAACGAAATACTTTAGCCTCCACTTTTTATTCATATGAAATCAATGCTTGACAAGTCTTACTCGTCAAATTGTGACATTGTGTTAACAGTTTTCGTACCGGACTCTTATTTTTCAGCATTGGGTAAAGTGCCTTAGTGTAAAATGTGGTAGCAAGTTTGCATTAAAATGAAATGAAAATTTTCCCCATTTAGCAACTAGTTTGGTTACAAAACATACCTGGTTAATTTCAGAACGAGATATATATCACTAGATAATTTCATATTATTGATACATTCTGGTGGATAGGAATATTCACCTCCTCCAATTATATGAGCATAAAATTAAAATTTTTCAGTTACCATTTCAAAGATGAGATATGTTCCAAAAATGGAACATTGGCATTTAAACGGTTAAAGGGTATCCAACAGATGGTTGTCTGGCTAAGTTGAAAACAACTTTAAATAGTTTTCCTACTGACGTATATAAGATATTTTATAATATGACATAAATCATGACATCTTTGCTATGTGTTACATGCAAAAGCCAGTGCGACTCAAGGACATTTTCCTAATAGCCAACCGTTCTTACTTGCTGAAGTGTGCTTGCGTAGAAACATGTTTAGGCTTAGTAATTTTACGTAGATCTGGCGTTCTCAGGTTCTTGCACTATATGATAATAATAATAAAACATAAATTTTCATGTGCGCAATTTAGATGAATTGCGTATATTAACAATTTATAATAAGTAATGACATCTCATCAATAACTGAGGACATATTTGCGACTTGTTATTTGCAAAAGCCAATGCGACTCGGGAACATTTTCATAATAACCAACCGTACCTAAAGTGTATTTGCGTACAAAACTTTTTAGACTCTATACTAAGACGTAGCTCTGGCGTCTCTTTCACTATATGATAATAATAAAACATTCATTTTCATGTGTGCAATTTAGATGAATTACGTATACTTACAATTTATAATAAGTGATGACACCTAATCAATAGGTAATGACATCTTTGCCACCTGTTACTTGCAAACGCCAGTGCTCGTGTACTATATGATAATATTAGAACATTCATTTTCATGTGTGTAATTTAGATGAATTGCGCACATTAACAATAAGTAATGGCATCTATTCATTATAATAAGTGATGACACCTAATCAATTGGCAATGACATCTTTGCCACCTACTACTTGCAAAAGCCAGTGCTCTTGCACTATATGATAATAATAAAACATTCATTTTCATGTGTGCAATTTAGATGAATTACGTATACTTACAATTTATAACAAGTAATGACACCTAATCTATAGGTAATGACATCTTTGCCACCTATTACTTGCAAATGCCAGTGCTCTTGCACTATATGATAATAATAAAACATTCATTTTCATGTGTGCAATTTAGATGAATTGCGTATACTTACAATTTATAATAAGTAATGGCATCTAATCAATGAGTAATGACATCTTTGCTACCTGTTACTTGCAAATGCCAGTGCTCTTGCACTATATGATAATAATAAAACATTCATTTCCATGTGTGCAATTTAGATGAATTACGTATACTTACAATTTATAATAAATAATGACACCTAATCAATAGGTAATGACATCTTTGTCACCTGTTACTTGCAAAATCCATAAAACATTCATTTTCATGTGTGTAATTTAGATGAATTGCGCAAAGTAATGACATCTAATCATTATAATAAGTAATAGCATCTAATCAATGAGTAATGACATCTTTGCCACCTGTTCCTTGCACTGTATGATAATAATAAAACATTCGTTTTCATATGTGAAATTTAGATTAGTTGCATTGTATTAACAATTTTTTATTTTTCAGATGGTAAACAAAAATATGGGAAGAGCTGGTTGGCCAACTCTTTGGAACGGAATCTCATTGGATACAGTCCTAAATCAGATCCAGTGTGGATGGGACCTTTCTGAACAGCACACACCCTCCACTGAGATTGAATGAAGAAAACAAATTTAGATTCTAAAACTGTTACAAACAATTACTTAAACTACTACATATCCATATTGTTCTCAGTTTTCAGGGAAATGCGAAATATTCCAAAAAAAATCGGCTTCCAAGATTTTTTTTTTCCATTTTAACTGCATTATTTATAAATATTATACTCCTATCAAGTCATATCCATTTTAAACAAGTATATTTAAAGCAGTGACTGACTTAGCAAAACTTGAGAGATGTAGATCAAATGCTAAAAAAACAATTTACGAACCACATTTAAAAACAACTCTTTAGATCTTTTTAACTTTTTGATTTTAACTATAAAAATATTTTGAAAATATTATGATTGTCACGATTATTTTGTATTTATTCTCATGAGAAAACTTTTTAATTCTCTACAACTTATCCCTTTATAAGTCCGTGGGAAATATGCTTCCCACCTAAATCAATAATTTTTAACTGTCAATGGACGGCTATTTTTCCACCTATGATTTGTGCGGCCATCTGTTGATAACTTTAGAAATAAAAAAAAAGCACCAATGAAGAGGGCTCTGTTTACATAAATGTGGGTAACAGTGAAGGTCCGCGTAGGGTCAAGAACACAGGAGAACTATTTTTTCTAGTGGGATATGAGTTCTTTCATTTGATCATTCTGTAATGCGTTTACTTGAATTTATAAATTCGGATATTTATAAATTCAGAAGTTAAAGTTAGTGGCCAATCGGAAAATTTTTAAAAATCCCCCAACCTTCCCACACAAATCAAATTAATTTTAGATTATAAGTTATATGACTTTCTTTTAGATCTAGCTTAGCGAAATGAATTTTTTTTATAAATCAATCTCAATTTTAAATAATATTTTGATATAGTATTACTAAAAAAGAGTAGCTATATAAGGGTTTAACGTGAAAATTTTAGAAATGTTAATATATCCTGAATAGCTCTATACAAAAATTTCAAAGTAAAAATTTCTATAAAAAATTTCTGAAAACTCCCTTTTTTCATAACATAATTATGAAAGAATTTGCTTTCATATATTTAAAATTTAAAAGTATTCTTACGTTACCTAAATCCATAAATAAATCCTTCAATAACAATTAAACAATTAATTTACAGTAACAGCAATAAGCAGTTAGTCACAAAAGTTAGTTGGAATCGGCATTGTATTTTTAAGAAAGGAGCAGCTTCACTCGATTTAATACCACAGGAATATTTAACTTAGTTTTTACAATTTTTCGGAAGAATTTTTCTTTGATTATAAAATATATATTTGCGAATTTTTTTACGGGAGATACATGTTACATCTGTTAATTATGTATAGTAGTCCGAGATATTTTGCACTTTCTGAAAAAAAGTGGAAAGGAAAATTTTTAATACCAGTTTTTTTTTATCTTACGAATCAATAACGGCCTCTATGTTGATAAAGTTATTGAAAACACTGGTAAATACATTTTTTTTTCGTATTTAAGTAAATACTTGATCTTACCTAATTTGGGTAAGGTGATTTAAAATTTGAAATTAGTTTTCTTCCGAAAATTAAATATTTTTTCCTCGAAATGGCATTTCTGAATATAATAGTTAATAAAGAACGTATAAGTTTATTTACATACATATACACTTGTCTGCTCCTTTGAAAATAACACTTAAGACCAAAAACATTTGACTTCACATCATAAACTCATACCCTCCAACTTATGAGGATTTTGAAAATAATTCTTTCTAGTGGTAGCGAACCAAACTAGAAATTTTTAAAGCAAATGGATCTCTCATAAAACTTTTATCAGAACTTAAGAATCTAGCCCTATGGCCTGCACTTTTATAAGTAATAGTGGACAAGTTACGATAAAATAATTTTTTTTTAAATATTAAGACATTAATTTTGCTACCGTCGGAAAAGAATATTTCTGAAACTACGGAAATTCCGTAGCAGTTGGAGGGTATGTAAAACTGAAATGTATTATCAGCTTCTTCCTACCACGCCTTATGTAACAGAGAAGTGGAAACACTTAAAATTCACTCGAGTGAATTTTCAAAATATCCTGGTTGGCAATATATTATTAAATTTCCTAATAACAGTAGACTATAACTGATATATTTGAAATCAGCGTCGCGAAAATATCTATCTCTTCAAACTTTGTTCCCCATTGTAATTAAAAATAAAATATAAGGAATCAGACTGAAACACAGATTAAACTGATAAGAAACGTTAGTTATTAACAGATTGCCTTACCTATGTGTTGAAACATTTAATTATGGAGTGAAATATTTCTACAGATGCGAAAAAAACTTGGTTGGTGAAATGTTTCCAAACACCGAAACATATATTTTAAGAAAACAAATGTTTGTTTTCTTATAAGTGAAGCCTTTGTTATTATGTACATAACATTTGGTTGCCTAGTGAAATGTTACTACATATTAAAAACATTTCAATACGTAAACAAAATCTATGAATTCCCATTTATAATATAAACTCAAATAAAACTTTCTAATTAATTTGTTTTATTCGGTAACTTCTTGAACATATCAATGATATCATATTTACATATCTTTTAGTTTAAAGAAAGAAAAAAATGCTTGCCTTGTCTCTCAAGCTCAGAATGTTTTTAACATTTTGATTGTGTAAATGAAACAAATTCATGCAAGTCAGACACTGTTAAAGTACATATACTTGTATGTTATTAACGCATAATCAAACTGATAATTGTCACTTTAGATGTTATTACATATCTTATTTTAATAAAGTATTCTATCTAAAGATTTTATGTAGTTAAAACTGAGTTTTAGTTCTGATTTTAAAACATATAAATCACAATTTAAACTCTTCTTTAATAGCTATGAATTATCACGCCTTATTTTTTATATCCACTGGTCATTAAGAGAATTCAATAAAGTTCATTTGATATATAAATTTTTCGTTTTATATTACTACTGATAACGAAAAATATATAGATAATTAAAAGCGTAAAATTCATTATTAATAAACACGTGTTTATTTTTAGTTGAATTTCCCATACTATCAACTACTGTAATTTTAGATTAAAAAAAGGATAATAAAAAAGTTATAATTAATAACTCCATTTTCTCAAAAAGGCTACAAATGTTTAATGTCTATTTAAACCAAACGCATATGTCTTTCAAGATATTTTGTATCTTGCAAATTTGAAAATAATAGGCTCGATTTTTTTATGAATATAAAACAGGAATAAAAAAGAAAGTTTTTTTTAAAATTCATAATGAAATGCTTTAAAATTTCTTTTTACTCCTTCCGGGGGAAATATAAATTCGCATGAAATGAAAATATAAATTTACACGTATAAACAAACTATAAATAAACTATGTAAATTAATTGTAAATTTGCATGAATATGAAATTAATATTTTTACTAGCTTATCAAGTTAAATGGTCTCAAAACACTGATCCTGAAAAAAATTTCAATATTTTTAATACATTTAATAATTATTATCTTTAAAAATTATTATTGTTTAAAATATTTTTTTTAATTTTGTTGTATGAAACACATCATCAATAATAAATGTTGCATTTAACAAAATTTAAAGTTTTAATATAATATTTTATCCAAGTGATAAAACAAACATATCTGTTATATTGCATAAGTGTACTACACTTTATGGAAATTAATAATATCAAGCCATGAATGATACCCGTTCATGTTAAAGCTATAAGAAATGTATCTAAATTTTAAGATTAATAAACGTGTAAGATTAAATAATTTTTTATTATTTTTTTTATTGGTGTTTTTAGCCTTCAGCATTACTCAAACAGTTTTAACTTAAAACTGAAATGTTTAATTTAAAATTGAATTATTGATTTCTAATTTTGTACTAATTTTTTTTAAAATGTTTAGTTTTGACTGATATTTATTGCTGTGATATTTTATAAATTTCTTTTACGTTGCAAGTTTAAATATCCAAGTGTCTTTGCTACGTGAACAAAATAAAGGAGGCAGGAATTAAAAATTCAATTTCAAAATTAAATAATTTTCAAATTCTTGCAGATTAAAGAAGATACAGTGAAAGTTGTAATTTTTTAAGATCATTTTCGAATATAATTTCTCAGACTGCCTCCAAAAAATATTTATAACCCTGCAATGGGCTAAAAGCATACACAAATAATAGCACTGCACACTGTCTAGGAGTACTAAGACAGAGTTCAAATATAACACAATTAGTTGGCCACTTTTTACTACGTTGCTGTTGTGAAAAGCTTACAGCGACATCTGTTAGCAACTTTTATTACTGTATGTATTAAACTTGCATCTTTCTCTATCAATAAATTGAATGTTTCAATTTTTTATTTCGAACTGTTTGAAAATGATTTACTTTTGAAATCGGTTGTTCTATAGTGGCTATCCTTTATATTGTACGTTCAAGAATTTTATATTTGTTATTAGACAACTTATGTTTGCTTCTAGATTTATGTTTACCGCTAAGTCTTTATTTTCAGATTTGTACTGAATTATTGAACATTCCAATATTTTGATGCAATATTTTAATTGTTTATAAATCAGTTATTACATTTTAGAGATGAACTTATTCTACAAAAATTGATTGTTTAACTTTGCTTCAGTATGTATTATAATTTTTAGTAAAACAAGCATGATTTTTATCTTAATTATTTGAAATAACTGCACTTAAAACATTAATGACAAAATTTAAATAGATTTTCATTCCCTTATAACTTATTATAATTCTTTTTATTAATGATATTTTTATGAATGATTTTTCATTCATTTTCAGATACTTCATTCCTTTTTTTATATTCCTTGATTTTACTTTAAACATACATAACACACAAAACAAAAATGATATATTTATATCATAATACCTATACGCTTTATCTAAACACAATTTCGAAACTGCATATCATTTAAGACATGATTCTCAATTTGCGAAGTAAATATTGAAAAACTGAAACCACACACTTACAGAAGTTAACTAGATTAATGTTTTTAAACCAATCTCACTCTATAGAATAAATATTGAAAAGTTAAAATCACAAACTTATAGCTGGATTAATGCCTTTAAACCAAAATTAATATTTAAGAAAAAATATTTTTTAATACTGAACATATATTTTATATAATAAGTTATGATTACTAAAAATGAAATGCATAAAACGGGATATTATTACCCTATTGAGTAACAGTATTAAAATTAATATCTAATGCCTTGTGTTGATGAGAATTGTCTGATGATAAAAAGCAATGATTTAAATAACAATATATTTAATTTTTTCACTTATCGTACTGAAAAAAATATGAATACACCATGTAATTTGCTCAACACAGTACTATTGTCTGCTATATTTGCCAATTAAACAATTTCAGCAAAACTGTTTTAAGAATAATATTTTTTTCTTTTTTTGTCTTCTGGAAATAAGGAGATCTGTAACTACCACTTCATTTAGTTACAAAATGGGAAAGTCTCTATTCAAGCTATAATATATACAATTCTTGATATTAGTGGTAGTTGGTGATATTTTATTTTTCTGTTATAGACAATTTTAGGAACTAAAATGTAATCGATAATTCTAAAGACAGCTTTCATAGCTTTCGATTCAGTTAAGTTATGCTTCAGCAGATAAAAATTATCTTTTTTAAATGTATAATATATTTTAAAATAAAATAATATCACAATAAATAATATCAAGTATAAAATAATATCAAGTATAAAATAATATCAGGTATAAAATAATATCAAGTATAAAATAATATCAAATAATATTCATTTTTTTCCTTCTTTCCTGGAAAGTAAAATAGAAGAGTTTTGTTTTCGACGAAGTAATCTTTTAGGTGTGATAAAATATTAATTTTAGGGGGGGGGATGTGTAGTCTGTGAAATAAATATGTATGATGACGTATCTCATCTCTCAGCTGATTGGATAAATAATTGAATCCAACTAAAACTTTAAAAAAAAAAAAGCTTGAAAAATGTGACTGCAGATTTTGATTCTAAATTTTTAATAATCT